TAGCAAGAACTCCCTTTTATGGAGCAAGGATCACCTTGATATCAGAAGCAAAACAAAAACACTTTCCCAACATCATAGGTCCCTATGACAGTGGACTGGATATTTTCATGTAATTTTAAAGATGTTCCAACAGATTGCTCAAACCCACCAGTTTTAGGATTTAACTGTAAAGCAAATCCACTACACTGGTTTTTTGCTATACTGATAAAATAAGAATATTTTTCAGGTAAAAATTAGGACATAAATATAATGCATAAAAATAATTATTATATTGTAAACTGACAACCTTAATATTTTTCCAATGAAATTATTTTATTATGATGACTGATTGAGGAAAAGCTTTTGAAAGCTTTCCATGCTGGGGGAGGAAGGTAAAAGAAATGGATTTTGGATTAGACTTTTTATTTTCATTAATAATGTCAATAGTTGAAATTCATTTTGTATATGCTGTCTGAATTCATCTCTATGTGCACAAAAGTACATTTTTCTTGCAACTGATATCAGCATAAACAAGACTTGAGTCAGACTAGTCATTTAAAACCTTTACCCTATGGATTTTGTATGACCTTAAAACTGCTCTGGTTGATGCTGCTTCTTGTCCAGATTCTTGCTGAGTCACAGCTCAGTTTAGTTTCAAGGCAGAGATATATTTCAAATCCTGTCATACTGTTAGTAGTCAGAGATGTACTATGAATGATTAGATAGTGCAGACTAAAATTGTAGACAGATGTATCTCTCTCCAAAGAGACCCAATTTCTTCAGTTCAGATAAGTTGTTCTAGTTCTGATCCTTTGATGCTGGAAACTGCATACTAGAGTCTTTTATCTGTCTTTTGGCAAATAAACTGCTCCAATCAATCTGTGGTTAATAAACAAAGATCACTAGTGATAGTTCTCAGGCAATGTTTTGTTGGAAATGGCTCAAGGTCCAATTGTGCGTTATGACTCACTGTGCAGGTTTGCCATGTACTGAAATATAGTGTTCCTTGTTCTTGTTTGCACATCAGCAAAAAAAAAATGCTATAAAAATAGCAATCTAAACTGGAGGAGGTAAACCTTGCACTATTGGCATGATCCGTCATTCCCTCCACCCACCTACTTCCTAAATAGAAAAGTTCCATTAGATCTGAATGAAAGTAAATAAATCTCCATTGTATCCAATATCTGCTATAATGAGGTCTATTAAACTGATGTTTTGCTATCAGTTGGAATTATTTCTCTCAAAAGCAGCGAGAACTTCAACAATAATGACATTTACGGAAACCCTATACTTAGTTCTAAATGGAAATGTCAAGATGGAGTATATCTCAGTACCACAATTGGAATTAATTGCATATTTATGTTCTTACTATTCTGATTTAATCTTCTTTCCTCCACTGATGGGAATATATATTTTTATGATACATTCATTCCAGAGGGCTTTGAAATTATATGTTCAGTATTGCACTGGGTGCTTTATGAGCAATCTGTGGAGTGTTTATCTAGATGAACTTAATGAAGTGGTCTGCCCTATGTCCAAAGCAGATAGTTTGTGATCAGGCTCTCAGATTCATTCCCATACCCATAGTGCTATTAATTTCAACAGCAAACCATCACTGAGCAGGACATTCAATAAAAAGATGTACAATGAGACTCTGAAGGCTTCTAAGTACTCTCCCATAATTATCAGGCTTAAATTCTGATCCAGCTCTACTTACTATGACTGTCACTCATCATAAGTAAATAAGTTGCAAACTAGCACCCTCTAGCACTAAAATTGTCAGACCTTATGCCTATTTTGTGGGGAAAATTGCTATTGAATTTCACAAGACATTTAGATAGATGTGAGTATAGTTACACAAAATTCCAAATAAAGTGCTGTTAATTATTTTTAAAAATGACTACTTTTTATAATGCAAAAATAGTGAGAAATATAACAGCCTCCGCAGATGTTATACTGGATTAAAACACCATTATTAAATCTGCCTTCCTAGCTAGCCTTTCCTCCATTAAGTGTCCATTAATGACATGAAGCTTTAAGTTACCTATTTGGTTGATGATCAAACTGGAAACATACACAGAACATTGCATTCTACGAAACAGTGGGTCTATTTTTTTTTTAAAGTGTATTTTAGATGGGAACATTTCCAAGACAAATGATTAGGTCATCATCACAGGAGGCCTGTTAGCTGTTGTGCAGGAAACCCAACCTAGCTAAGAAAATAAAAAGTTTCCTTTTCAAAGAAACCATGGAATGATTGTTAAATAATACAATATAACAATAAAAGAATCTTGTCTCAATTCCTGCTTTTTCAGTTGGGAAAAAAGGCAGGCATTCATTTGGCTGGCTTGTCAGTTATGTCCACAAAAGAACAGACTTAAGCTATTTGCTTGAGTTTCACAGGATTGTGTCTTAAACTAAACTGCAGCAGCAAAAGTAGCGAGGACAAGAAAGAACATAACAAGGTTTTTTTCTCAGTGATGCATTAATGTGGAGTTTTCAAATTTTCAATCAGAGGAAAGTAGATCAAGTCATTGTTGCTCCAGAGTGATGAGTTGGAAACTAGTGGCCTTCACAGCTTTAGTGCTCAACCATTTAAAGATAGCAGCTGGTGGATTCCCCTGCTCTGTTCCCTCCTCTCCCATATTGCTTACTTATGGGAGACTGAGAAAGGACAGGGGACAGCTAGCCCCAGTTGCTGTCCTTAATGTACTATGGGATTGGTGTCAAACCTCTTTAACAACAAAAAGATTAATGAATCTCCCTGAAGTGAGAGAAAGAGGATTTATTAGAATAAACTAGCTAGATCATTACAAACACTTGCAGCCCCATTTTTCCCCTCTTGCACTCTCTTAGATGTAAGGGAGAGGATACTTGCCTCTTTTGAGGAAACCTCAATCCTGCACCCACACACTGAATTAATTATTTTTTTACTTGCCCAACTCACCAATAATACTGGTGTGGGCACATATGTAGAAAAATTTTGAAATGGCTGCTGACTTTCTTATCACAGTGAGGATCAATTACCACAGTCAGCATAAGTGCCTGAATGAATACTTTTCAAAAAATCCAAGTGACAAGTTGCCACCCCAGAGGTTCTCTGCATTGCAAAGTCACTCTGCTCTTTCTGAACACAGGTTTACCATTCTTCTAGAAGAGTGTTACTTAATCCACTGCCAAAAAATAGCTGACAAATTGATGAAATGCAGAAAGATGCTGATGAGGTGGGATGGAGCTCCCTAGTACATCAGACAATCTCCCCCTCCCCCATTTCATTCCATATACCTCTAGCCATCAACCACTTTGGGGCAGGTTTGGTTCTCTTCCAGAAGAGTGGTAAACACATATTCAGAAATAGATTCAATCACAGGTCACTGGAATTGCACTAGAGGAACTGCAAAGAACTTTGGGCACCAGAATGACTCTCTGTTGCCCTGTTCCAAAAAGCAAACATCAGAACTATTGTCCATTTTATTTTAATTCCTATCTCCAATTGCTAAGTGCTCAGGGAATAACAGCACTGACCCAACAGTACTGACCCAATAGCACTGTGCCTGGCAGTATCTAGAAGTAGTCGGTGAAGTAAGCTGAATGGCCTTTCTTTCATAAAAATAATAAAAAGAGTAGAAGGTATATCCTAACATCTTGCTCAGTAGAAGCTGCAGAGAATGCACCATGTGCAGGCCAAACCTTCATCACAAAGACCAAACCTTCATCACAAAGCTAGAAAAAATCAGCTCTGTTTCACTTTAAAATCAGCCTTCTGGATTAGTATAATCCAGGAGCCCCTAATCCCATGAATATCCAGCATCCTTTCAAAATAATGATAAATGCATGTACACAAGGATCCAGTAAGACCTGAGAGGTGATTTGGAATTAGCCTGTTAATATTACTTGGATATATTCCTTGGCAGAAACCAGTTGTCTAGTCTCTCCTCCACTCCAAGCCAAAATTATCATAACAGTCAGTACCTATAATCAGAGAAAAAGAGGGATGCTCACAACACCCTCAAATGACCCCCCCCCCCGACTTTATCATCAACAACATCATTAACAAGAAATTATAGATCCTTGTATGGAAAGATAGCAACATGCAAAAAAGAAAAATTGGACCAGCTATCTATCAATTTAAACTGCATCTTCAATGGGTTGGGATTAGATGAGATGAAAGGAATATCATATACTATGTCCTTTAAAAACAGTGAATTGTCTTTGTGCTGCATTTAGTTATATGAATGAGCCCAGTGATCTTGCCTACATAGCTAACCCCTACCTCAGTTGAAGCTCCAAAAGAACTGTTGGAGCCCAAAGGCTTTGCCTTCAAAAGTGAACTTGGTTGGATCTGACTGTTGCTCTCTAGAGGGAAGCACCAAAGGAAGAGAAGAATTATTCTGTAATTCTATATTCTGTAATACAGAATATAGAATAACAGAGATGGAGGGATCTTGGAGATTTTCTAGTCCAACCACTGCCCAAGCAAGAAGCCCTATACTAGGGGTCCTCAATCCCTGGTCCGTGGACCAGTACTGGGCCGTGGCATGCCAGCAATCGGTTTGCACAAACAAGCAAAGCCCCATCTGAAAGATGCAGGCAGCACACAAAATTACCCTCCGGTTCATGGAAAAATCTCTCTCCAAGGAACAGGTCCCTGGTGCCAAAAGGTTGAGGACCTCTGTCATATACCATTCTCACAAATGGTGCCCACTTTCTTGTTAAAAACCTCCAATGATAGAGCACCCACAACTTCTAGAGGCAAATCATTCCACTGGTTAATTATTCCCACTAGCAGGAAATTTCTCTTTAGTTCTAGGTTGGATCTCTCTTTGGTAAGCTTCCATACATTATTTCTTGTCCTGCCTTCAGGTGTTTTGGAGAATAGGTTGACCCCCTGTTCTCTGTAACAGCCCCTCAAATATTGGAAGGCTGTTATCATGTCACCTCTAGTCCTTCTCTTCATTTGACTAGACATACTCAACTCCTGCAACCATTCATATTCATGTATATTTTAGCCTCCAGTCCCCTAATACTCTTTGTTGCTCTTTGCACTCTTTCTAGACTTTCACCAACATATTTTTTTGTATCATCATGGCCAAAACGTAACACAATATTTCAAGTGTGGTCTCACCAAAGCAAAATACAGCAGCACTAACCATGTGCTCTTGATACTATCATTCTATTTTTGAGGCCTAGGACTGCATTGTCTTTTTAAGCAATGCAGCACACTGACAGCTCACACTTCAGTGATTGTCCATTAGGACTCCTAGGTCCCTATTACAGTTACTGCTGTTTAGCCAGATACCTGTACTTTTGGTTTCTCTTGCCTAAGTGTAAAACCTTACTTTCTCACCACTGACTTGCATTTTCTTGGATAAAGCACAGTGTTTAAATCTGTCAAAATCCTTCTGGATCTCAGGCCTATCTTCTAAAGTATTGGCTATTCCACCTAGCTTGGTGTTGTCTGCAAATTTGATGAGTTCTTTTTTTATCCCTTCATCTAAATTGTTTATGAAAATGTTGAAGAGTACTTGGTCTAAGACAGAACCTTGGAATATCCCACTGCATCTTCCCTCCATGTAGATGTAGTTCCATTAAAGTCTACATGTTGAATGTGATTGGTTAGGCAGTTATGAAGCCATTGGTAGTAATGCTGTCTATCCTGCATTTTTGTATCTTACCAAAAAGTAAACTGTAGTCTACTTTGTCAAAGGCCTTACTGAATCCCAAGTATACTATGTCCACAGCATTTTGCTGATACATTAATTTAGTCATTTTATCCAATAATTCAATAACATTTGTCTGGCATGATCTGTTTTTGACAAATCCATGTTGGCTTCTAGTAATATTTTCTAAGTGTTTGCAGATCTATTGCTTGATTAACTTTTGCAGAATCTTCCCAGATATTGATGTCAGGGTGATAGATCTGTAGTTTCCTGGATCCATTTTTCTCCTTTTGGGGGGGGGAGCCACATCAGCTCTTTTCCTCTCTAGTATTTCCTCATGCTTCAAGATCTGTGAAAGATGTGGTTTTGAGAACATGTCTGCCAGCTCCTTAAGAATTCTGGGATGTAAACCATCTAGTCCTGGTGATCGGAACTCATCTAGAGTGGATAATAATAATAATAATAATAATAATAATAATAATAATAATAATAAAGTTGGAAGGAACCTTGGAGATCTTCTAGTCCAACCCCCTGCTCAGGCAGGAAACCCTATAACATTTCAGACAAATGGCTGTCCAATCTCTTCTTAAAGACTTTCAGTATTGGAGCATTCATAGCTTCTGGAAGTAAGTTGTTCCACTAGTTAATTGTTCTAACTGTCAGGAAATTTCTCCTTAGTTCTAAGTTGCTTATCTCTTTGGTTAGTTTCCATCCATTGCTTCTTGTCTTGCCTTCAGGTGCTTTAGAGAATAGCTTGACTCCCTCTTCTTTGTGGCAACCCCTGAGATATTGGAACACTGCTATCATGTCCCCCCCTCGTTCTTCTCTTCATTAAACTAGACATACCCAATTCCAGCAACAGTTTCTTATATGTTTTAGCCTCCAGTCCCCTGATCATCTTTGTTGTTCTTCTCTGTACTCTTTCTAGAGCCTCAATATCTTTTTTATATCGTGGTGACCAAAACTGGATGCAGTATTACAAGTGTGGCCTTACCAAGGCATTGTAAAGTGGAATTAACACTTCACGTGATCTTGATTGTATCCCTCTATTAATAAGCCTAGCACTGTGTTGGCTTTTTTGGCAGCTGCAGCACACTGCTGGCTCATATTTAAGTGATTGTCCATTAGGACTCCGAGTTCCCTCTCACAGTTACTACTATTGAACAAGATACCTCCTAAACTATACCTGTGCATTGGTTTTTCTTGCCTAAATGTAGAACCTTACTTTTTTCATCATTGAATTTCATTTTGTTAGATAGTACCCAATGTTCAAGACTGTCAAGATCCTTCTGTATCTTAAGCCTGTCTTCTGGAGTGTTGGCTATTCCTGCCAGCTTGGTGTTATCTGCAAATTTGATGAATTCCCCGTCTATCCCCTCATCCAAATCATTGATGAAGACATTGAAGAGCACTAGGCCCAGAACAGAGCCCTGGGGCACTCCACTACTCACTTACCTCCATGTAGATTCAGTTCCATTGAGCAGGGCTTTTCAATCTTTTCACCCATTATTACACTTTTAGGATATGGCAATATCCGAGTACCACCAGTCACCTAGCACGGTGCCAAAACCTTGATGACCAAAAAAGAAAAAAGAAAAGAAAAAAGTGATGAAGTAGGGGCGTTGTCTTACCTGAACGCCTTTTCTCAGCATGATGATGGAGAATCCACAGATGGGTTGTCTTAATCTATCTGCTCCAATTAGACTAAGTCTGAAATTTAGTACCGCCCCCTCTGTGCCAACTGAACTCCAGTTTTAGGCTAAGGCGATACCCAGTCTTTAGTCCGACGCATCTGAACAAATGGGGACCAGGCCAACTTACCTAATGGGAGGGAGTGGATTCTCCATCATCATGCTGAGAAAAGGAGTTCAGGTAAGACAATGCCCCTTTCTCCAGCATGATTGGATGGAGAACCCACGGATGGGACATACCAAAGCCCTGTGTCCCTAGGGTGGGGAATTAGATTGGGCCTGATTCCCACCCAATGTTAATGCGTGTTCTAGGACCTTGCGGCCAAATGAAGCCGTAGAAGATGCATATATATCCATCTTGTAGTGACGGACAAAGGAGGAGGGCGATGCCCATGTTGCTGCCCTACAAACTTCCTCTATGGATGCCTGGGTAGACCAGGCTGCTGTAGTGGCTGCGCCCCTGGTGGAATGGGCCGTGATATGGCTGGGAGCTTGTAGTGACTGAGTCTGGTATGCCAGAGAAATACAAGCTCTAATCCACCTGCCTATAGTGGGTGAGGAAACCTTCTGTCCTAACGACGAAGGGTGAAATGACACAAACAGAGCCTCAGTCTTGCGGAAGGATGAGGTTCTCTGTATATAGCAATATAAGGCCCTGCGAACATCCAATCTGTTCCACTGAGCCTCTATGTCATTAGATGGGTTCGGACAGAAATCCGGCAAAACTATGTCCTGTGATCTATGATACAAGGAGTTGACCTTGGGCACGAAAGAGGGATCTAACCTGAGAGTAACCCTGTCCCTATGGAAGATACACAGGTCCTTTCTCACTGACAGGGCAGCCAGCTCAGAGATTCTTCTGGCTGAAGTTACAGCAACCAGAAATGCCACCTTCATTGATAATAGTTTGAGCAAACAAGTGTCAATTGGCTCAAAGGGTGGTGAGACAAGAGCCTGTAAAACCTGATGAAGGTTCCAGGAGGGGTATCTATGTACCGCTGGTGGTCTGGCATTTTTAGCTCCTTTTAGGAAGGAGCGTATTATAGGGTGCTGTGTTAAGGGTTCCTTGCCACAGGAAATAACCGTGGCGAGTGCTGCTACCTGCATACGGATGGTGCTTGTGGAAAGCCCTTTGTCCAAACCATCCATCAGGAACTCCAAGATAACTGGCACTGCAGCCTGTAAGGGTTCAATTTTGTGAGCTAAACACCAATTACAGAAGCTCTTCCACGTGGCATCGTATATTCTATTCGTCGAGGGTCGCCTGGATTGCTGGATCATGGCTATGACCCTTGACGAATATGAGTCTAGGCCTAAGGCCTGCCTCTCAAGTGCCAGACGGAGGGTCCGGATGATGTAACTCCCCCTGAATGAGGGAGATCCGATTGGCTGGAATCCTCCATGGAGGGGATGTGGAGAGCTCCATCAGGTCGGCGAACCAAGATCATCTCGGCCAATGCGGGGCGACCAGGAGGACCTCTGCTTGTTCGCGAAGGATCTTCCTGATCGTGGCAGGTAGAAGGGGCAGGGGAGGAAAGGCATAGAGCAGTTCCCTGGGCCAGGGACTGCGGAGTGCATCTGTTCCTTCCGCTGATGGAGATGGGAACCTGGAAAGGAATCTGGGAAGCTGTGAGTTGGCTGGGGAGGCAAACAGATCTAGGGTTGGGGAACCAAACCTGTCCACGATCTCTCTGAAGATCTTCGGATCCAGCTGCCATTCGGAATGGTCCACGGTGGCTCTGCTCAGTGAGTCCGCCTGCTGGTTGGCCACTCCGGATATGTGCTCCGCCCTGATGGAGGCAAGATTCAGTTCCGCCCAAGACCCCAGCAATCTGGCCTCCTGCATGAGAGGCTTGGACCTTGTTCCCCCCTGTCTGTTGATATGGGCCTTGGCTGTGATGTTGTCGGTTAAGACCAGGACGTGCTGGCCCTGTACTAAGCTGCTGAATCTCTTTAGGGCCATGTGTATGGCTCTTAGTTCCAGCCAGTTTATATTGTTCTTTAGATCTTGCCTGGACCACTGACCTTGGGCCCAGTGTGTGTGGAGGTGTGCCCCCCACCCAAATAGGCTTGTGTCTGTGGTGATGGTGATCCTGTCTGGCTCTTTGAATTCTGCTCCCCGTGACAGTGCCGGAGAGTCCCACCAACGAAGGGAGTTCAACACTGACCGTGGAACTCGGACCTTCTGGTGGGATGTGCTGGTATGAAGTCTCTGAAATGGAAGGAGAAGCCACTGTAATTCTCTGGCATGGAGATGTGCCCATGGCACAATTTGCATGCAGGACACCATCTTCCCTAGTAGTTGTGAAAGGGATGCCAATGTGACTACTCTGTCCCTTCGGATCCGACGTACAAGAGTCTGGATAGAGTTCCATCGGTCCTGAGATAGATAGACCGTGCAATTGCCTGTGTCTATAACTGCGCCCAAATGGAGGAGCCGAGTTGTTGGTACAGTATGACTTTTCTGGAAATTCACAGAAAAACCGTGCTCCTGCAAAACCTTGATGGCTAGGGCGAGGTCTGCTTGGGCACCTTGCCATGATGATGACTGAATTAGAATGTCATCTAGATAGCATTGAACTCTGATGGGAATTTGTCTAAGGTGGGCTGCAATCACTGCCAGTACCTTTGTAAATACTCTCGGTGCAGATGAGAGGCCAAATGGAAGGGCTCTGTACTGGTAGTGGTGTCGGGCATAACTGAATCTGAGGAATTTGCGGTGTCCAGGAAAAATTGGGATGTGCAAATATGCCTCAGTCAGGTCTATGGAGGTAAGAAAGTCACCTTGCCTGACGCCAGCCAGGATTGATTGAAGTGATTGCATCTTAAATTTTTTATATCTCAAGTAGAGGTTTAGATCTTTTAAGTCCAAGATCGCCCTCCAGCCCCCTGAAGTCTTGGAAATGACGAAAAGGTTTGAGTAAAACCCTCGTCCTTCTTGGTCTTGTGGTACTGGTTCAATTGCTTGTATTTGCAATAAATGAGCTATTGCCTCTGACATAAGTTCAGCTCTGGTCCTGTTCATTGAAATATGTCAGAATCTGTCAGGTGGATGGGAACAAAATTCTAGTCTCAGACCTTGGGAGACGGTGTCTAACACCCATGCATCCGTAGTAGTGGCCGCCCAAATGCTGGAATAGAGGGCCAGCCGGCCTCCTATGGGAGGTGAGGCTGCAGGTTCACTTGCCTCGCTTAAAGGAACGGCTCCCTGCGCCTCGAAAGGACCACTTGGTCTGGAACTGTGATCTGCCTCTGTATACTGAACGATCTTGTTGTCGTTCCTGTCTCTGAAAGGAGGGGCGAGGAGCCTGGGCCCAGTCCCAGGATGGCGCTGGCCCAAAGGACTGCCTTCTGTAGTTACTCTGCGACAAGTTCCCCCAGCATCTATCTCCTTTCCTTGATGTATTAACCAAGGTCTTGCATTTATCCTTACCTTCGGTTAGGTATGGCTCTAGCGCCTTACCAAAGAGATGTCCACCTGTGTAAGGTTTAGAGGCCAGACGCCACTTGGCCTTGGTGTCTGCTCGCCAGTTTCTGAGCCAAAGGAGCCTTCGTGCTGAAATGTCTGCCGCGATGGTCCGGGCAGTGTATCTGATCGTGTGTAAGGAGGCATCGGCTAGATACTGGGACGTGGCCACCAACTTACCCAGATTCTGGTGGGCTCTGAGCTGGTCCGGAGGGATCATGTCCTGGAGCTCCCGTAGCCACAGGACCGAAGCCCTGGCAAAGAAGGCCATGGAGGTTGCCGCCCTCATTGCCCAGGCTAATGCCTGGTGGGACCTGCGTAGGGCGGACTCAATCTTCTTGTCCTCTGCCCTTAGTGCCTCATTTATGTCCCCAGGGATGTTGGACTTGGGAAACAATGAGTTCAAGGGCTCATCAATCTCAGGAATCTCCAAAAGGGAGGTCAGGGAAGGAGCAACATTGAACAATGTTCTCTCTACCGCACCAGGGCTTAAGGGGGATCCTAGTTTTTCCCATTGTTTCTGGACTATATTTAGAAAAAGGGGAGGGCAGGGAATATGATTCTGTGAGACAGAGGGCTCAGTGTATATGGCATGGGGACCCTGGGATGTTGGTGGGTTCTCCTGTTCTTGGGCGAGGTTTGCAGTGGTGCAGGCCTTGAGAAGCAGGGAATTGAAGAAGGAATGGTCAAAGAGACCGACAGGAGGGGTGGGTTCGGATGGGGCGATGCCCTCGTCCTCAGACAAAATTAGGCCAGCTTGTTCAGCTCCTGTAGATTCCAAATCCGATGCGGGATCATCCATCCAATCTGGAGATTGTGGATGATGTGTGGCCTGTGGGAGTGGCTGTGGGGTGTTGGAGGCCATAAATTGAGCCACAGCCTGGGCTATCATGGACTGGAGGAGGTTCGGGTTCAGGGCCTGGTTCTCAGGAGGGCGAAGTCCTGCTGCAGTGGGAGTGAATGTGGCCTGGGGCCCTGAGGTGTCCTGACCGGTTATACCCCTCCCTGAAGCCACTGTTAGGTTTGAATCTGACTCAGGAATTCCCCTGGGGGGAGACCAGGCCCCTGGGGCTGAGGCACTGTGCGAAGAAAGGGGCTCAAATATAGACCTTCCCATCGTGCCTGTCAGATCTGGGGAGGCCGCTCTCAGTCTTTGGCACCCTTCCTCCCTCTGTGGCTCCCTGCTTGGCCGGGCTCGCTTGGTGGTGCTCTTACCACTTGCCTCTGATTGGCGACTCCTCTTGGCCGGCTTGCTGCCTTTCTCTGCCATGATGAGTTGCTCTGGTCTCAACCTTGGCAAAACGCCCCCCTCGGCGCTGTACTTCACCAAGGGAGTCTACAGAGATACTTCAGCCCAAGAGGGGGTGGGCGGGGAGTTAATGGGCACCCCGATCACTTGGGATCGATCAGGCC